GTAATCACTACTGATTAATAATCAGCAATGGTAACACTTCGAAAACAAGTAAGTTATTCACTTGTGTGAAACGCAGCATGACTGTTACCGTGATCATTTGCTACTAAGAATGCATTCGTTTTTGTTTTGACTTCTTTTAGAATATACTTTTAGTTATCAAAAATAAGAAAATAAATATATTTATTAAATAAAAAGTATTTTTTCGTTATCATTTTTTTTTTTGATTGACTTTTTTTATTTTAATTTCCCCGATGTCTAGATTAAACATGGAATGTACAGTCACTCTGTCGGAAGTCGAACATGCCGCAATCGACTGAGTCAGACGGCTGTCTGCACGGTTACTAAAAGAGTGACCGGTGCTAACGAATTAGTCTATTCAAGAGATTGTAGTATACAGTACTGTAATCTGCAAATGCATACAAATCTATTTGTAGATATTATTTATTGTGAAGTATGTTATACAGTGTGAAATTTCGTTTGTGTACAAGTTTGTCTGCGTGTAAAAATCCGAAAGTGCCTTAGAATCCCAACAAAGTTGCAATCGAGTGTCGTGCATCTCATTAGCATATCATTATCCCTTCTGGCCTTTGTTTTCTGAAAAAAATTCCAACTGTTACCGAAGTGAATGCTCTAATTAAAGCCGCACCAAGACTTCACGCATCTGAATTCGTCCATTGAAAAAATAAATTTTAATTAAAGCCGCGGCCTCAAAAAGGAATTTTACGGTAGTAATATGACCAAAAATAAAAACAGCCGTTATTTGGCCATCTTTGATCTGATTATGAAACACACGGATATGTATGATGTATGTGCCAAATACAAATGAAAATGGTACATAAATTGTGGAAATATAGTAGTAAGGCCAAAAAGTCAGATTGCTGTCAATCAGCCATCCTTGACCAGATTTTGAAACAAATTGTTATGGACATGCATCCTAACATGTATAAAGTACATGTATGTGCCAAATTTGAATGAAAACTGACAGAGCACTTCCAAGATACCACATAAAAAAAAAAAAAAAAAAAGATGCCTGCCAGTCGACCATCTTTGATCCAATTGTGAAATAAATTGTACTGGACATGTAACCTAACATGTATAATCTATGTACCAAGTTTGAATGACAACTGACAAAGCATGTCCAAAATACAACATTTTCAAAAAAACAAGATGGCTGCCAGTCAGCCATTTTGAATCGAATCGCTAAACCACTGCATGTGCACATGTTCCAGATAAAGTACTAGGCACATGCAAAGAATGAACGGAATCAGTCCAAGGGATTCTGAGATATGACTCCGAACTGGGACTAAAAAAGATGATGGTCGACGTACTACGGAGGACAACAGGTCCAGTCAACCAAAGAGCTCTGCTTGGTCATCTTCGATGAGAGTGGAGCTAAAAACTATATGCCAGTATACATGTTTGTAGATATTAATTTCAACTTGTTTTGCTTTATGTTTATGTTTTGTGTAATTTAGATTGACTTCAGAGAACCTTAATGACTGCAAGTATGTTACACTCTGTGATGTAGGTAAACAGTACAAACCTGCAACAAGATCATGAACACTTTCTCCATCTAGAACTCTTGACTCTTCAGCCCACCTACTCAATGGCGAGGGAACACTAGATATATGTGTATTACCAACACCTTCATTGTAATTATCATGGAAGAAATCATCAAATAGATCATCATCTGTCCTAGCTAAAACACGAAAGTCATTGTCGCCAACTAGAAGTCGAGCTTGACCACCACCCATGGTAGAAGACAGGGAAGTTGTTAACTGGAGAACATCAGCTGCAGCGGTAGGGCCAAGCAATCTATGGAATAAGTAAGTTTTCAATTGTTATGTTGAATCAAGAAAAATTACGGTGTAAGTCTTATTTTCTCATTTCGGTCTTTTCAGACGACACATTTTGTTGAGACAATTCTCTGTGTTAATCCTCTGAGTGCAAAAGTCAACTTCAAGCACCATCAACAAACATTTGTAGCTTTTTTCACAGAAAATGTTCACGACAATGCAATGTCACATTGTATCTGTTTGGCCCAATATTATGACGAAGTTCAGTGAAAATATAACAAATTTACCCAATTTTGAGTGAAAATTTGGTGCTTAAAAGGTTAAAAGCATTATTCCATTCAATTCATTCAAATAAATAATTTGTCAGAATACTATAAAGACTCATCTTTTAACTACATATTATTTCACTACATGTTCCTGAACAAAACGAGTTATGATGAAGCCTTTTTACAACAGAAATCAATGGCGAATGGGTAAAAAAAATCTCCATTTTCCTGGCTGCACGTTTAACACATCTTTTTGGGGGGAAAAGTAGTTTGGTTACCATTACGGTTCTTTTGTGAGTAATAAAATAGCATAACATCAAATTATAAGGTACAAGTCAAGAAATCTGGTGATAGGTTTTAATGATATTTTCATGTTTTTTTGCCTGAAATATATATAACAAGTTATACCTATAATGCACATCTAAATAGTGTGATGTCATACTGGTATCAGGCATACCTTTGAAGTATAGCTGGTGGATTAGGATGACGTCCACCTGGAGGATATACATGAATAGCCCTGTGCCTTTGTCTGGCTGCTCTGTGTAATCTTGATGAATGACTATGTCCATGGGTTATATGACTATGCTGATCAGAGTGACGTATCAACAGTGGATGGTTAACAGATACACCACCAGGAGCTAAAGGAATGGATTGGCCTTGTAAAATCAAACATAAAAAAAAAAAAAAAAATGCAAAAAAAAGACACACAAAAAAAGAAATAATTGAGAATACATAGAATATAATTATGATTCAGCAGTGATTGTCTTATTGGACCCAAGTAAGGGACGACGTCAAAAGATCGATGTCCGATAAAAAACTTAATTCCTTTAGTTTTTTTCCAAACCCCCCCCTACCCCCCACTGAAACTTAATTGATAAATTATTGGTCATGGCATCAGACTACATTCACCATTAAATACAAATTGATAATCGGACAGTAGTATTGCATAGCAGTTGGTTGTCGGGTGGGTGTTTACAAATGAACCTCATTTGACGCACAGATTTACACTCGAACCAAACCATTTTTCTGTTTTTTTCCCCTTTTCGGTTATTTCTGTCCATGATTGGATAGAACTACAAATACTCCAAAATTTTTTTGACTTCATTAAAAAATAAAATCGTTTTTGTAGGATGGAAACTTTTTGAGGTCAAAACCCCCCACCCCCAAACTAAAGGATATACGTTTTTTTATCCGACATCGATCTTTTGACGTCGTCCCTAAATGTAAATGGACGAAAGCAACATTATTGTCATATTTTACGATTACTAACTGCCTGGTTCAGTATATTTCATCACAACTTCACAAAATAGTCCTGTTTATCGTCAGAAGATTGGGATGTATATAACCAATTTTGTTTAGTAAAACCAGAAAACTGACTCAAATTTTTTCTGTTGAATTCAAAATTAAGGTTTCATTTCCAGAATTATTGAAGAATTAATGAAAAAAGGTACAGAAAAATTTGGGCAAGAACGTTCATCTGGTGATTATAAGGTTAATAGTTCATATTCCAGACAGTGCCACACACAAAATAAATCACACATACATTCCTTGTTTGTACTGCCGTGTGGGGTGCAAAGCTGTACAATAATTACCATATTTTGTATAATCAGAAAGAAAGAACGAAACGGCAATATTGCAGTACGAGACATGAATACCATTTATAGTTCTGCCTGAAATACATGCAGACTTATAAGAAGATTCCTGAGCACACATTAATTGTGTTTGGATATTTCCTAAAAGTTCCTAGCAGCACAGTACATTAAGTACACTATAAGGTTCCACTGCTAACTAAAGAACTTATTACCAATGCAATGGCAAAATAAGAATTTTGGATGCGGAGAATAGACAGAGGCTTACCAGCTGGATCATTAGCATTGGTCACATCATCATGAACCGAGACAGGAAGTTGATAACTCCGTACAGATGGCACATTGGAGAGAAAACCTCCATCATCAAAGAAACCAGAATCACCTACATTGGGGTAAACACAACCAATTACTGTCAAAATCGAATGGTAACAAAACTTTGAAAATGTAAATGTTGCAGCTATGATTGCGTTTGACCAATACAGTTTCCCGAATGAGGGTGGGTTCAAATTGGACATGCAGAAGTTTTCGTTTAAGAACGTGTTCCATCACCCATGTATTATACCATAAGGCAAATTACTGAAACTGCTTTTACAGTATTTTTTTCAAAATGCAATTCCAGACACATTGTTTCATTACCTAGGGTTTGAAAAAATTGACAAATTTGTTCGGGTCATGTTCTACTCTTCCTCCATAGAGTCCCATGTATTAACTCACATACAATAATATCATGTTTATCTCAAAAATTGTGTCTGTACCACAATTTTTTTTTTTTTTTTTACATATGACCCTATATAGAAATAAAGCAATCTATTCTTGAAGAATTTAAAAGACTGTTTTGGGCAACCATAACTCACAAATCCATAATTCACTACTTGTGCTGAACAGTTATAATGATCTCTACGAGTAACATTCACTCACCTGGAAATACTTCTTCTAAATGCACAAAGAAATCATCATCTCTGTCCTGTACTCTGTCATCATAAGACTCATCAATATCATGGTATTCACCGCCATCAGCTTCCATATCGGACCCATCCTCATCATCATCACAATCATCACAATCATCATCGTCATCGTCATCATCATCCTGACAGATACAATGTAAAACACCATGTTTTTTTACTACATACCTACTGTGGACAAAGCAAGTCTGCATTTGGAATTGCAAAAATTCTTTTTGATATTCTGAGTCTATTTTCAACTTTTTACCTGATGATCATCTTCACTAACACTGTCATCATCGTCATCACAAGCACTGGTATCAGAGTCATCGTCATCATGTATACTTTCATCATCATGATCTTCTGCAAAAAGAAAAAGCAGAATTAAAGATCTAAATTTGAATTTCAGGGAATCCAACATATCCTACAGACACCATCACATGTTGTGTTTGTTGGCAGTCAATCAACTCATTTACGTCGTCTTTTTGCTCATCATACAAGTTGTCACCTTGAAATGAGCTTGTGATAAAACTTAAGAACAACAATTGACCAGACTACAGCATTATGCAAGAACCTTATTCAGCATCTACAGCAGGGTTAGCTGAACACTTTCATAGCCTACTTAGAATCCATTAATTCAGGAAGTCCAAGTAAAATTACTGTGAGATGAAACTTACCAAGTTTATATGTAAATTATGTAAACACAGTTGCCCTCTGTGTTACTGACATATAATGGCATCAAATCATCAGACTGGCAGTAACCCATAAATCAACATTATTATACAAAATGCATGCAAATTTTGAAAGTAAAAAAATCCATATAAACTCTTTGGGCAAATATTATGATTTTTTTTTTACTAAGAACACCAAATGATGATAATATTTGTTCTGAATAGACAATTGAAGGTAACAATTGATGTACCCTACTCAGATTGCATATTATAGAATTTACCTGCAGCACTTTCATCATCCCCATGACTGTCATGGTGACTTGCCATTTCTGCATCAGCCAATCCTCCTCCAATTTCCTCTTCCTCATCACGATGAGCATCTTCATCTTGAGAATCTACAAGAATCAGTGGATGGCATCTGATTCTATTATCTATATCGAAATGTAAGGGTCAAAATGGAATTTCAGTTATCCCTCAAACATAAAGCAAAGCACAAGTCGATAAACAAGTTTAACCAAAAAAGTAGCAAGGCAAAATGAAGAATATTAAAAGAAATCAAAAATTCATTTTACTGAGTGTGATATATTTATACGTAAAATATGCAAGAAAATATGAACACTGTAGAACAGGAAATTATTCGTGCAGTTAAATTTTCACGTAATTCGCAGAGGGAGCTCTTTGCTATAATTAAAATGCAATTTTCAATAGACTGATCAGCTTCAACTAACAATTTAGCATGGAGTGGTTTTAATTCCGAAAGACAAAGATTGCTTAGACATCGGAAATATCAGCTCCCGTCTGCAGTTCATTCAAAATACGGTCATAGTACCACGATTGAAAGTTAGATTTCAGCGAGTCCTTGAAAGGCTTGTAGACGGCAAGATTTAGGGGTTGCAGCTGATCGGTACAACAGGCCGGAACAAACACAGTAGCAATGTTGTTGTCGTGTAGTATTTAAAAAAAATCTTAACATCACTGTGCTCTGAATACATGAAATATTGCTAGGGTAACCCCAGTTTCTGGTGTGACGATGAAACATATGGAATGATAACAGTATCTAAATACTGATGCATCGTTTTCCATATTTTTTACTTGGCAAAAATGGTTGTCGTGTTGAGTGTGAACTGTAGTAACAATAGCGATAATCCTCGGACGTGTGTTGGCTAGTGGAAGAGTAACACTCATTTTTTAATGTGTGAATTAGTAACAGAAATTGAATAATAAATGCTCTTTGTTTGTATTTGTTAAGATTCTGTTTAAAATTTATTGACAAACATGTATAAATGAAAGGTCAAATTTGAATACTAGTAATTTGTCTGCAAGGAGAACACTAATAATAAAACACGCGAATTAGACAAAATTTGCTTTCACATGAAAATTTCATTGCACGAAAAATTTCTTGTCCTACAATAAAAGGAATCTCCACCATAGTTCACATAGAAGTAGCCCCAAAGTTGCTTTACAATTTTACACCATAAATGTGAATGTTTTAGAAAATCGCAGATGATCGTGTAACACCTCAATCAAGTATAGTTACATCAAACGATCATTAACATATAATTGACATGCATTATTGAGATTTAAATTATGAGGACATATTTATACACACCTCCTTGATCTATGAACCTTGTTGGTGCTGGAGCTGTAATGAGAGTATCCTGTAAGACTGCAGGTCTATTCCCACTCTGTCTTTCTAGTATCTCATCCATGATATCGTCCAGTTCTGCACTTGCCTGTAGCGTATTCAAAATAATAGAGATCAGTCAAAAGACATCACTGAATTTGAAAAATCCAAAAGCTAAGAACATTGGATGATGATACAATCTATAAATGACTATGAAACTTACCTCCATGGCATGTTCATCTCCAATTTGATGGTCATCCTCTTGCGTCTGTGCACCTAGCTGTTCTGATTCAACTTCACTTATATCAAGCATATCTATAAAAACAGGAACAATTCAGAAATGTATGCAAATCTGTGTTGTAATTAAAGTGGCATTACCAACATACCCAGATCCACAAGCATCAAGACATTTTGCTGTGTGAAAAAATTATTTAAATACAAGCCCCTCAGCAAACTGAAACTGACTGGCTAGGCTATGTTAAAGAACAGCATGGGTGGTGAGGTGTGGCAAGGCGAATCTAGGCTATGGTAAAGAACACACAGTATGTGAACAGACAGCAAAGGAGAAGTAGATCGTTTTTCATACCCGCTGCTGCTTGGCTATCTTGACCAGCTGTTGTATCAAGAGTTCCTGTTCCACTTGGGTCAACGACCGTGACATTTTCTCCTGAAATTGATGAACACATCTTGTAATTACAAAAACAAAAAGAAATTCCCAATTCACTAAGTGGAAAATGGGGTAATACCAGATTCTGCTGTAAATTCGCCCATCCGAAAAATCGCCCTGGGCGGTTTCACCGCTGGTGGGCCCTTATTTTGGGTTCAAATTTTCAAAAAATTATCATCAAATATTTTTAGGGGGGCTTATATTTTCATTGAAAAATCCACCTATGAAAACTCGATAACTTTGATAACTCATTGTCAAACCGAAGCTAACCCATTCACGCTAGTCGCAATAAACATTAATACTCTTGAATAGGCGTCAATGACTACGGCGAAACTTTTAGGCATCAGAAAAGATTAAAATAACACCTTAAAAAACTGCCGAAAAATCGCCCTGGGCGGTTTCTTGGTCCCAATTTTTTTTTTAAAAACCTGAACTGCCCTTTAACGACCCTGGGCGAATTTACGGCAGAATCCGGTACCAATAACAGGCGAGAAAAATGTAAACAATTGAACTTTTTGTAAATGATGATCATATCAAACCTTGGGGTTGATCAGCATGCAGCTCCTCGCCAGGAGTACCAGTTTCGCTAGATCTGCCAGACTTTTTAGTGCTCTTGTTAGTGGTAGTTGCAGTTGTTGGCTGGTTAACAATCCTTGTCAATGTTTCCAATGGTTTTAAAGCAGCATTGACAGTAGAAGCCATACTGGGACTGGATAAATCAAGGTGGTGGGGTATTCTAGATAAATCTGCCACCAATCCACGTTTCAATAACAGACGTATGATATTGTTCATGCCATTCGTTTGTGATTTGAATGTCTGAGTTTGATGATAAGCACCAGTTGGTGGACAAGCATCAATTATAATACTGATTAAACCTGGCAGAATAAAAAAAAAAATGCTTGTGAAGATGAGATTAGTAAAAACAAACAACCTGTCGGCTGAGATACATTGTAGCTCTGCTGTTAGCAAGTCACATTTCAATTAAAGAACTGAAGATATCATTAGAAAATGAACAATGCAATGTATGTATAGTATGTATAGCAATCGGACTTGCTGTTTTCAACACAAATTCAAAAATATCACTTTTTACCAGAAATGACAAAAATATTCATCAAAATTAGATAATTGAAGATATAATCATCAAATGAGCATATCTGAGAGAGGTCTACCTGTAGTACCTATATATATAATAGCAAAGCAATCAGACTTATGATTTTCAACAAGAAGTCAAAAATATCACTTTTACCAAAAATTACAAAAATATTCACCAAAATTAAAGAATTAAAGATATTATCACGAAATGAATAAATCTGAGAAAGGTCCACATGTAGTATCTATATATGTAATATCAAAGCAATTGGACTTTCAGTTTTTAATAAGAAGTCGAAAATATCACTTTTTACCAAAAATTACAAAAATATTCACCAAAATTAGAGAATTTAAGATATCACAAAATGAACAAATCTGAGAAAGAACTGTCCAAGGTACTTGCATATCAAATTTGAAAACATTCTGACTTGCGGTTTGGAAGAAGAAGTTGAAATTGTAAAGATGACGACGACAATCAGTAATATGAACAGCTCCACTATATCAACTTAGTCGACAACGGAGCTAAAAAATACGACTATTCACGGTACATGTACAATGTAGGTGTGATAATTTGTCATTATGGTGAATTAAAATTACAAAATTTCTAGAAGGCATCAATCAATAAACTTCTCATACACAATGACATTTGCTCAGAAACAAATAATTTTGACATTTTAACAAGACTACTGCTGCATAATCATTCAGAATTTGCTTGTGTTTTTGATAGTTCAAATAAAAATAGTTACTAGTTTCAACTGGCAAATGAGCACTAATACCAGTACAAGACTATGCAACAACTTGTCCCCTTATAGATGTGTTATCTATGAAATATGAAAAGGCAATAATCTAGCAAGATGTGAAATACATGATTCAAATAAAAACACACCTGTCAGTGCTTGTACTTTAGAATGCTTTTCAGCACTTTCAGGAAAAGCTAATGCTCTTGTTAGAGCAGATTTGACTTCATTGACAAGAGCACTCTGGGCATCTGTACTATGTGTACATGCAGCAAGACTAGCTAGGAAAACTCTTGACAATGGAGGCGTATCTTTATCCCCAGCAGTCTGACACTGGGGTAGTAAATGATCCATGATATATGCCAATACATGGCAATCCTGTAAGTGAATGGAAGGTAGGTTTAGTATGAAGCTGAATATGCACAGATATAATAACAATGCACTAAAGTTAAGATTAGCACTGCAATAACTAAGGCTAGGAAGATGCATATTCTGCATGTTAGAACATCTTCTGAATAAACTTAAACAATATTGTTCAAATGATATTTAAGGATGTAGTAAACTTAACACTAACAGTCACTATTTTATACATTTTTTGTTTATTGTCTAGTTTGGTGGCATTTGTCTATCTGCATGCAATAGATGTGTTTCCCACTCAAAATAGTAACCAGTACACCCAAAAAAGGCATTTTATAGGATATGTGTTTATAACAGCAGACCGCTTACTTTGATTTCAGGATAATCGGCTTTGAGCGCAAACAATAAATATTGACCTAATTTGTATAAGTTGTACAACTTAGCAACGGAAACAACGCACGCACGCCCTGTCTCTGTGATCGTTCTATATTAGTACACCGTGTGTGACACATCCAAAAATTAGCACTCCTTAAAATTGTTATCAGAATTATTATTAGAAATTAAGAGAGGGAAGGGACAAAAAAGGAAGAATATGACTCCAATGTCTGAAGAAGAAAAACTTCGTCTCAAAAACAAACAAACATCGATCGTGGTATGAGTCCAGCGAAAGTTCGGACGATACTGCTGTGACGGTGAAACATTTATCTACATGTAGCTCAGACATTGAAGAACTAGGAGAAGCGCCAAGAAGTGCATCAAAAAGGAAATTATCATCACATGGTGACGATGATGGGGTGGCCGACGCAGATGGATCGCTGAGACTGATCGATGTCTACATTTTAAATAGCGGCGCCATTGCGGTGCTCCAGTTGCAACAAAGGGATTTGACATTGGAGGAAGACACACGACATGGCTGGGGATCCCACTTCCAATTTAAATGTTCAAATTCTGAATGTTATTTTTCCTCAGCAGAGAGAATTTGCACGTCTTTTGAAAAACAAGAAAAAGAGTTCCAAGTAAACAGGAAAATGGTGATCGCAGGAAGAGTGATCAGTAAAGGCCGACGTGCGATGGCAAAATTTGTCGTGTACATAGGTTTACCGGCACCGATCCACCGGCGACCATATAAACAAGCCATGCATGGCACAGTCCCCGTTAGTTATCAAATTTAATATATATAGTTTTGTTTATAGTAATATAGCTGGAATATAACCATGTCAGGAATATGATTTTTTAACATTAAAATGATTGACAATTGTATCAGATCATCAAAAAAGTACTTGTCCATATTGAGAGATATTGCTCTGGAACAGCATTCAAAATCAGCCATTTTAATTACATGCATATATATAACATGATGTATAACGAATATATATAATTTGAATATAATCAGTCAAAGCATGCAAGAGATATGGCTCTAGAAGCCCAATCATTAAAACAAAATGGCCGCCAGACAGCCATTTTGAATCCGATCTGAAAAATAAATGATGTGCATCAGGAACCTGTAATGTCTAACATATGTACCAAGTTTGAACGAAATCCATCCATAAATGCTTGATATTTGATGATTTTTTAGCACAAAAATGGCCACCATTTGGCTATTTTGAATAGGATCGTCAAACCAATATATCTGTCTATCTATGACATGATGTATATTGAAAATTTGAACATAATCAGTGAAAGCAAGTCAGAGATATGGCACAAGAACCACATTCATTAAAACAAAATGGCCGCCAGTCGGCCATTTTGAATCTTATCTGAAAATTATTTGCATTAAGGTCCCATAATGTCTAATGTATATACTAAGTTTGAACAAAATCCATCTGTGAACAGCCGAGAAATGCTTGATTTTGATGAATTTTTAGCACAAAAATGGCCGCCATTCGGCTATCTTGAATCAGATCGTGAAACAAATTGACGTGCATATGTATACTATCATGTATGATGTATGTGTGAAGTTTGATTGTGATTGGTCCAGGCATTTCTAAGATACAGGTCCGGACGCACGCACAGACGCACGCACGGAGGTCAAAACATAAGTTCCCGTTTTCGGACTGCGTCCGAACGGGGACTAAAAACATGTCGTGGAAGTGGCAAATGGAGCCGAGAATGAACTTGAGAAGGAATTCATAGAAGCGGCGTCAGAGCTCCAACAAAAAAATCAAATAAAGAAACGTGTCAATCACCTCACTCCTTATACAGAGTGTCCGCGCCCAATTATGATGTCAAATTTTCAGAGCTGAACTGTACTGCATGTTTACTTTCTGCATGTAGCTCCATGATTTCTGTATACCAGGCAGGGTTATTTTTTTACAGGCCGGCTTTGGGTATGGCAAGAGGTACTTTTTTCACACGTTGTTCCAAACGACAAATTATTTATCACAACAAAATTTTAACATCCAGTAAGAAACTGAGATATAAATACAATTGAATAATCGTTACGCCAGTCCTGGGTGCCGTTCGACCGAACAGCGAAACACATGCTCTGTCGGACCGAGCTGTTTCTGTCTCTCGTCTCCAGCTAGCACGCCTGCATCTACATTAACAAAGCACATTTCATTTTATATTTATAAGGGGGGGGGGATATGATCGTTGTCGACAACTTGGACATTGTGTGGAAAACACGCGGCAATTCAAACTGATCACAGTTGGCCTACATTAAAAATTGCAGTAGCTGCCACAATAAACTCAGTCGTGCGGTTCCCGGTTACTAAGGAAGTAACCATAATCTCTCACTTGTGTCCAGTCAATAAACAACCTTTGTATGTGCATAGGATTACGTAATTTATCTTTTGTAACTGTACAACGCTATCTAGATGAACAAGTCTCGCCAGTGCTTTGAAGCCTGTTTTACGTTGAATATTGACGATACGCTTGAACACTTTGTAACTTGAACCACACAATCTATAAAATAAAAGTATACCCTTCGCCCGAGGGTATATTTTTCTCAAACGACGTCCCAAACTGAAAATATTGGCCAGTTTGTTCACAGGAAAGGTTATTTGCCGTTTCTGCCAAATGAAAACGAACCAATTAGTGAACTACATTATCGAGTACGCTGCGTTCCCTGGGTATCACATTCGCTTGATTTTTGCATGGGTTACCTGAAGCATCAAACATGCGGTGAGAGCGTTTTATCCTAACATTAATTGTTAGCCAGAAATCTCGTTATAAACTAAAAGTAAATTAAGTGTAATTCAGTGACCGTGGTCCAAAATTTCAAGCTGGTCTCATGAAATAAACACATCTCGCTGGGCAAAAATCTTGTCACCCGATTGGACACCCTGTGGTCAACATTACGATGTTTGTTACTCATCTAACTAGTTTCATTTTCACGCAGTACTCGTTTTTTTACAATAATATTTTTGTTTGTTTACTTAGCAGTCACGTGATAACTATTGAATTCTATCCAAAATGACCCAGGAAGTGTGAGATCAGAGGTTTCATAAAGTATATGGTTTACTATAGTTCAGGACATTTCTTATATGAAAATGTCAAGCCTAACTATAAAATACCTGTTATGTCTACTACATCCTTAATAATTGTGCTCGGCAATATTATAAACATGTTTATCTGCTGCATTACACTGCAAATTGTATGAGCTAAACCAACATATATTATACGTACTTCTTTCAAATGTGGTGTTTGTCCACCTGTGTACTGATAATGAGTAATCATGGCAGCACATCCAGCATAGGATCTAACTAACTCTGCAAGAAGTCGGAGTATCGCTGATTTTGGCATGAGGGGTCTGTTTGCTGCTGCTAATTTAGCAGTTTCCTCTTTGCTTTTTTTGATACTTGCTTCATCTTTTTGTTCAGGATCTTTCTCTTTGACAGTTGTGCTTTCTTGAGATTCAACAACAGTGGCTGAGGACTGGCTACTTTCAGCAACCTGTAAAAAGAAAAACAAAATGATCATTTAATTTTTAGTTTGATCACTCTGACTCACACTTTTAATTCAAGTGCTTTACAGAATTTAATTTGTTGATAAAAAAAATTTGTTACTGCTTTGCTTCCACAACCAAGCCATAACTTCAAATTCTTGTGTAGCTAACAAATACCATCAACTGACCTAAACAGCAAATAATTACACAGAAAATGGAATGACTTTCTAATTGAAAATGTACGGAGCGAGCTGATTCAGAATCAAGAACAGAGTCTAATTCAAGCTCCATAAGTTGCTTTGTTGGCCAAATATTGTTTGAAGCCTTTGATGTATTTAAGTAATATGTGTACAATAATAATGAATGCAACAGCTTTGGTATTTGCAAGATATCTGCCTCATGATTTACTGGAATGTAGCCTGTCAGTTTGGTGGAATTGGATGTGTTTCAGCAATTACTGGGGTTAAATCACCAAGGATTCTGTTCGACTATTGAAGATGGAATATACAATCAAATCAATATTTGATTTCAAGCACTTTCTATTGAAATTAATTTTAGATGCACATCAGACACTCAAGTTGTTTCCTGTACAGCCATTATATGTCCCTCCTTTCAATTTTATACAACCACTGTTAACTGCATCCAAGCAAAGTT